CACACACACACACACACACACACACACACAAAACACACACACACATTTGCAACTTCGGCCACTAAATACCAAAGTACACTGATTGTTATTGAATTGGTTCGTCCCCTGATGTCCATGATGAATTATTCAGTGCTTTGCACTTGTGTAGTTGATAGGCAAGGTCTGGGTGTGGGAGAGAGAGAGCGGGAGAGAGAGAGTGGGAGAGAGAGAGAGAGAGTGGGAGAGAGAGAGGGAGAGAGAGAGAGAGTGGGTGGGAGAGAGAGACAAAGCTCCATTAGTCCTGCTCATCTGATTAAATTATTGGTCCTTAACCACTTCTCACTGCATTCACTTTTTGTCAAAGCTGTCCCTCTTCCTCAGCCTCACACACACACACACACACACACACACACACACACACTGGGGGTAGAGGACCACTCCAAACTACCACACCCCCTCTCCTCGCCCTACAGTCTTTCATAGCTGTCCTCCCCTTCACCCCTCATCCTCCCGTACACACTCATTCTCCACCCCCCTGCCCCCTCTCTCACTCCCCATTGCCATCTCTTACCCCTGACTCACTCTGCCTCCTAGCAAACGTTCCCTGACTCATGTTGATCATAATGCCGTCTGTGTGTCAAGGGCAGACGAGGAGGAGAGAGAGCTGGAGGACTGTGACAGGGAGGGAGTGGGATCAGAGAGAAAAGGGTTGGGGTGGGATCGGGTCGGCGTGCTGGAGGAGATATAACAGCGGAAGGGAAACTGTTTTTGATTTCTCTTTAGATAAATTAAGAACACTGGCAGGGAGCAAAGGAGTTACGGGGGGGGTGAAGAGAAACAAGGTGGAGGCAAAACCTTGAGTGCTGTGATTGTCAGAGGATCAGATTGATCAGATATCTGAGACATTAGCAGGCTTTTAAAAGCTGTGTGTGTGCGCGTGTCGGTGTGGGTGTGTGTTCATTGCTGCATCCTCCTCTCTTGCCCTTCTTTTCCTCCATTGTCCTCTGCTGCCCTCAGCTCTTACAACACATCTGCCATGTCAGGAGGGTTATTCACTTTGTCACTCGCCAGCTCATTTTCTCCCCATTCTCATATTTTATCAAACAAGTTCAACAGCAGCGTGTAGAGACATTACTGCTGGCACAACTTTTTTTTGTCTTCTCTGTGGGACATTAGTGTTGTCTATTAATAGTCCGCTCACTGCCATCCTGAGGAACTACTGTGGAAGCTAAATTTCACGGTGGCTCTATTAAAAGACAGAATGAGAAGTCAGCAAATATTGTGTCTGTTTTTCGCTCACAGGATCTAGTTGTTGTTTAAACTTCACTTAAAGAGACTTGAGGTGTTTATCTGTACAAAATTAGGGAAATATTTTAAATGATCCATCCATTCATTATACTGCTTAACCTCTTTTGGTCTCAAATTAACCAAACCCCACTCTGCATGTCTTTGGACTGTGGGAGGAAACTGCAGTACCCGGTAATAACCCACGCAGACACAGGAAAGACATGCAACCTGTAAATAAACCATTAAAGTTTAGTCCTAGAAACAACTGACCTGTTCCCTCTCCTCCTCTCTGCAGCGTGTCTGTTGCAGTCCGAGCTGGTAAACTACGAGAGAGTGAAGGAGTACTGTCTGAAAGTGCTGAGCCACCAGAGAGACCACTTCAAGGCCATGTACCGAGCCGGCATCGCCTTCTATCACCTGGGTGACTACGAATGTGCCCTACGTTACCTGCGTGACGCCAAGAACCGCGAACCCACAGGTGAGGATATTTAAATACGGTCACATAACAGAGAAAACATCTGAGAGTGCTCATAATATACAAACAAAACTGGGACCCACATTTAAATAACTCAAAAAGTCTGATTTCATTAAAACTCTTTATTTGGTATTTTCTGAAACGTTAATGGAGAAAAGTAAAATGACACTTTAACTTGTGTAAACCTGTGTCACATTTTAGCTCTGTCAAAACCATAGACTGGAAATAAAGCTGGATGATACCTCTCTTCATCTATCCACATGGACTGAAACCAGCTTTGACGAAAAACGTATTTGACTTGTATTTTGGCTTTTTAGTTTTGTCTGATGCACTAACACAAAGGAGGTATATGACCTCTACAGCAGCCAGCCACCAGGGGGTGATCAAGACATTTTGGCTTCATTTTTAGGGAGTCGTGATGTTTTTCCTCTTTAAGGTCTATGTTCATAACCTTTGTGCCTTTCTTTTTCTAACATGAAAGATGGTTTAATTTAGCTGCATTAGTAAATGACATTACATCAATCTCAATAAAAATCTTTTACTTTCTGCCTCACATCCATCGCAGACACCAACGTGCTTCGGTATATCCAGCTGACAGAGATGAAGATGAGCAAGAGCGGACAGCGGGATCGAGAGAGCGGCAAAGAGACCCAGGGCTAACCCTCGACCTTTTCACCCTCCTGACCCTCCCACCTCTGACCCTACGAACAGTCCCGGATCGACCCTCCCTCTCTCCGCCTCCTCAATCGACTCCTGACAGCAGCACAGCCCACAGATGGAAGAGAACGACCCAATCACCTGCCAGCGATTAAAGGAAGCGGGAGACATATCAAGAGCTGTCTGCGGCACATCTCCTTCATCGTCTCTTCCCTCCCCTTCTCCCTTTTTCTCCCTCAGGTGCTGTGGTTCCTATTCCCTTAGACGCAGACGGTCAAGCAAACGTAAAAAAAAAAATATCAACGAAAAAACAAAACAAGGAAAATGCTGTATTATACTCATTTGACAGTCATCGCGGTGGACTGAAAAGGGAGCTTCAACACATACGAATAATGGACATTTGCGTGATTTAGTAAATGTTTTAAAAACCTAAAATGCATTTTGTCTCTGCTCTCTTGCTCTTTTTCTCATGGCCTTCTCTCTCTCTCTCCTTATCTGGAAATTTTGAGGAGAAAATCAGGGTCGACCACACCGGGAGGAGGGCAGGAGTGTGTGTGGAGGCAGTTCGACACATGACGGGGGACAGTGAGGGGGTGTGTGTGACACATATCAAGACCATAGCCCAGTTTGATTGTACATCCTCTACCCCAACAGGGCTCCATCGGGCCCTTATACCCAGACTGTGGGACAGACTAGAAATCTTTCAATGAGTAGAGAAAGAGCCTTCCTCTGTGCTTAATATATCACTCTTATGTCTGACTTGTCTCTCTTGGATGCCATGTATCTCACTTTCTGGACTGTTGTTTCAATTCAAGGGCTAATTCAAGTGTTTGTAATCCGTCTCTAAGGTTTTTATCATTTGCTTTCGGTGTTCATCATACTCAGTAGTACCTAATTGGTAAGGTGTGCTATTGTGGAAACTGGTGTGTCTTGAATCTGTTGTCCCCTCCTGGGTCATGTGTCGTTGTTGATGTTGTTGAGACTCCCTCCCTCCTCCTTCCCCCCTCTTTTCTCTCGTCAATGATGTCACAATGGAAAATAGCCAATGGGATCGGTGTTCCATCAACCTGCCATTGGCTTAGATGGAGATCCACTCTTTTAACGGTTCACGGCAAGAAACACTTTCTTCTAAACCGAGGTCCGACCTTTTATCGCTAATACTGAAGCTTCCCAGACACCGACAACACGCCGAGGAGACTCTGGGCGGCGTTAGTGCAGGGAAACAATCACACGCTTCTGTCCCGACAGTCCCAACCTCCATCACGGAGCACTCAGCTTATAGTGCACTTCAACAAGAGTGGGCCATTTGAGATTTCTTCCTCTTTCAGTTTACTGTGTGTGGATAGATAAATTACCAGTGTTTGGAAACAGACAGACAGACGCAGTAACACACAAGCATTAGACACTATACCGATAATACGGTTTGTGGATATCCATGACTAGCAGATGATTTGCCAGCGCTTCTCTTGTAAATTTGTGAAGCTGAATCATTGATAATGCAGACATTGCTTTTCTATTAGCTTTACTTCGAGCTGAGCTCTGCCCGCCCTGTTCTGCTGTTGGACTGATACTTTGTGAAAGCATGACCTGAATTCCCCTTGTCTCTGATTCCACGAATCCCAATTTCCTCTTTCCCGTGTGCAAGCCCACCTCCTGCATGTAACGTTTGGCTCCAGGGAGTTACTTCAGATGTTAGGGAGGGGATTACATCTGCTCTATTGCTTTCTGACATGGCATGCTGCCACTAAGCGATGTGCTCATACACAGAAAGTGGTGACAAAGCAGTAGAATAAGGTATCTAGATATAGCACATATATCTAAAAAAAAAAGGAGGATATTTAATAAATTCAGGTCACCGTGAGAATAAATTCAAACAGAGCTGGAGGAGGAAATCAGAGAGAGTTGGAGTAAAAGATTTCCCCTCCTTACTTTTTTTCCAGTGACCTGCTGGGAGGGAAACAGAGACCTAAGTGTGTCAATGGGTCTCTGGAGAGACGGCACCATGTGTCGAAGAGACCTGCATGATACAGAATCGCTCCAGTGGAGGGAGAAGTAGGCCACTGTCAGCTGCAGTGGAGATACACAGAAGGGTTTAGAGCTTATTTATCATCATACACTATATGGCTAAAAGTATGTGAACATTAAACCCTCAGTGTATGTTAATGAACTTTATTTATATAGAGCTATTCTAGTTTTATCGACCACTCAAAGAGCTTTACAGTACAAGCCACATTCACACGCTGCTGGTAAATTGGGGTTCACTGTACTCTTCGGCATGTGGACTGGAGGAGCCAGGGATCGAACCCCGACCTCCTGGTTAGTGGACGAGCCCCTCGATGTGGTAGCTGAACATCTCATTACCCAAACTTCAATTCAGCCACTAGATCAGTTGTATGTTGGGCCCTGGATCCCAGTCGATATTCCAGTTCATCAAGGTTTTGGATGTGGTTGAGGTCAGGGCAGGTGGTTCCACACACGTACGATACATGATAGCACGCCGTTGTCTAAAACAGCGGCTCACAAACTTTTGGATTCCTTCTTTTATTACTGTTCCCACATTAATCATTGAGCTGTTATTGAATTCACGCCCTGGTTCCCCCCATTGTAATAGAATCTTGAGAATTTCTCTATATTGAGCAGTAAATTGTTATTGTGAATCATTACCATTTTAGAAATTATTGAGGGTAAATAGTTTATGAATATCATATTCTGATTTCAGATGCAAATAAAATGATGAGAGGAAATGTAGTGCAGTATATAGTACATTACAGTGATTTCAGACAAAGCCGTGGATATGTTCCCAGCAGACACAACAAAAAGAAAAGGTGTTACTCATGTCGGCACGGATGAATTTATTTCATTATATTTGTCGTGCAAACGAGGACGTCCACGTAGTTCTAGCCATAAAGTGTATCACCATTATAAAATGTAACTATTAATAATATAATAACTATATAAATCCTATTTCCTGCTTCATGGCTGTGAAGGAACATGATGATATTTTCTTAAAGGACAATTCTGGAAATAAAATGATTTACTTTCTTGCAGAGAGTTAGAATAAAAGGATTGATACCACTGTGTCTGTGGAGAGGATTGACTTTGCACAGCATAAAGACTGGAAACAAGTTGAGCTATTGCTTTGAGTTATCTTGCTGTTTTTGCTTGATAAAAAAATATATTTGTTGGACATTTCCCATTACAATAATAACCAATTATATAACAGAACTCAAGCCTCAGACGCAGGAGCCATCCTCTCTCCTGACGTGCCTCTGTTCTCTGACATCTCTCTGTGTCTCTCTCTGGACCTGCATGGTTTTCCCAGAGGAGATAAATCAACAAACAACAGAGAGGAGCGGCACCTGCAGGCTCCGTCTCCATGGCTGCCTGAGCTCAGTCTACTCACCCGATGGCTCCTCTGGGATAGGTCTCCTCCCGTGGTGCTCTCTCCATGGCACCAGTCCGCCATCTTGTTTCTGTCTCACTGTGCAAAGTCATTCTGGCTCGACGTGCGCCAACGAGCGTTCCAGAGATAACTATAGCTGAGCAGGTTCATCTCAGGCTGTTTGATTCATTTGATTCTGTTTGATTAATGGCAGAGGCGACTGAGCGGCAGGCTGTTATTGTGAGCGTAATCTGACAACTCGCTGTCTGTGCACATAGAGATAGAGACGCCCGATCTCTGCGTCAGTGTAGCTTTGAAAAAGAAACAAAAAGCACAACAAAAAAGAAACGGAAAAAAGTAGAACTACAGGCTGTGTTATTTTCTGCTTCTTTTTATGTTGATGTCATTTGAGGTGAATGTTTGTCAAATGTCAAAGTAGTTTTTTGTGAATATATGATACAATTGTACAAAAAATACAAGAAAAAAGCAACGTTTTATGGTTGTGAAAAGCTTTACTTTACTGAATTAATTTATCAGCGGAAAAGAAATTCAAGAGGTAGAAAAGAGAATTTTACCGCAGCTTTCTCCCACAGAGCTGCTTCGTGACTGTGTCTGTATTTGTTGGTATTTCTGTTGACGTCCCTTTTTGTTGAGGGATCCAAAATCAGCTCAGAGTACGTGCAATGCCCTTTGAACCTTCCCAACCCCGACCCACTACCCTTCCCCATCTGAATGACCTTTGACCCCCTAGCGTCTGTTTCTGCACAGTAAAAGACGCAGTAAAATGCAGGAGTGGACGAGAACTCTGAGGAACTGGTACCAGAGCGCAGAGCTGCTCCTCACAGCCGCTGGCCTCCATCCTGTTTGTTTCTGTGTTGATGGAGACAAAATATATATATATAATAAAAAAAAACATGAAGCTGGGGACGTCAAGGCTATGACCGCGCTTTAGTCTCGCCTCGCTCCCTATGAGGCCTTTCTTTTTTTTCCATTCAACATCCAAACATCCACCAGGTGTAATGACACTGGTTTTACTGAACTGCTAGCCCGGGAATGCACTATTGATTGGTAAATAAAGATTATGAATAAAGTTTCAAACAAACCGGAGAGTTGTTGTTGTTGTTGTTGTTGTTGTTGTGTGGTCACAACTTTACGTCATTTTAACCACGAGTTTCTCTGACGATTTTTCTCATCACACTCTTGATTGCAGCTTTTGCTTATGTGGAGAAGAAAAGTTTTTGATGGCTCCAGATGGAAGCTATAGATTTGATAAGAATAAAAAAATGGTTTGTGTGGAGTTGGAAAGAAGTGAATTGTGGGTAATGTAGGCGCCAGGTTTTGTTAATGAAGATGTACGTGTATAATTAAAATAAAAGATGTAATCTCCAGTTCTACTGTACCAATTTGAATATATGTTTCAACCCTCCACAGTGAGTCTGGGAAACTTTACTTTACTAAGTGAAGCTCCAAAAATGCATCTTTCCTCCTCCATTTCCAAATCCATGTGCTCAGTTTTGTCATAAATGTAGAGTCAACAAACCCACACTGAGATAAGCAACAATAACTGACTTGACAAAGCTCACTGATCTTAACGGCATTACATTTTTCAATGTCTTTATCCGACATGGGTTCACCCTTGAATACTTTATTCATCAACTGTGTCACTTTTCTTTATGATATATTTAATGTCGGGGTCATTTTGAAACCATGAAACAATGAAATGATCTGACGGAGATTCATTGAGGGAGTGAAGGAAGTCAGTCTGTAGATCTGAGGATGCACCAACTGGCAGGCAATCTGGAGAGCTGTTAACTTCAAAAGTAACACACACGCACACGCACACAGTCTGTATCCTTTCCTATTTATCCTCCTTCCCTTCCGTCTGTCACCTCTCCTTATTCCTATCACTCCCTGAATATTAAAACAGCATTTTGAGATTCAGACGTCAGCACTGTCTGACATACATTTCCATATTTTCAAACCTAAAGGAAAAAGAGGAAAGATCTGACTGATAGAAGGAAGTGTGGTGGAAAAACTGTTACTGAGAAAGGTGATAAGCATGTGAGAGAGTCGTCCAGGCTAAAGCACAGAAGAAAAATACTCCTCTGTGTGTGTGTGTGCGTGCGTGCGTGCGTGCGTGCGTGCGTGCGTGTGTGTGTGCGAATCCTTGCTGCTGGCTCTTTAACACCTCTCCTTCTCTCTTCCTCACTTTCATTTTGAGGCCCGTCATCCCATGTTATTTTTTCCCCAACTGTTTTCTTTGTTGCTGCTTTTAATAGCATCGCCATGGAAGTGAGGAGAGGTTGCTAGGTAACTGGCTGGCATCTTGATGGCTGTTTGACTGGCGGCTGAACTGACATCCACAGCAGTGGACTGTGCATTTGTGTGTATTTGTATTATCTGCACACACACAGCTTGTGTCAAGTGGAAATGTCTCTTCATGAATCACATTTTGTTTTTTAGAATTTAAAGGATTTCTTTCCTGATCGATGCCTGAAATTCAACCGCACACTAGCTGCTTTGGATGCATGAGTGCACCTTCATCTGTGGTTGATGCAGCTGCAGTGTCAGAGAGTGGCTGGAGGAATGCATCACATGGAGAAAAACAGCAGACCTGGAAATGATATGACATCATAGGGCACAGTGGTGACACCTAGAGGATTTCATCTGTTGCTGCAGTTGCCTTTGTCCTGACTGACAGTAAACCTGCCATGGTCAGATACTTTACTCACACAGAAGTACCACTAAAACTGTCAATGGGAAATGGACTGCATAACTCTTTTACTGTCTTTTTGACCACTCAGAACTGTTTACAGTACAAGTCGCATTCACCGGTTTATACAAGACTTCTATAAGTATACTTGTTATTTCTATCACACACCATTCATCCACTGTGTGCACAGCTGTCTGGGACAGTTCACAGTTCTGTATCTGGCCTAAGGTCACTTTGAAATCCAGACAAATGATCCAGTAATCTAACAAATAGACTTCTGGTTAGTGGACAACTCGCTCTACCTCCCAAGCCAAGTTAAAAAGAAGTATTGTCAGTATTGTCAAAAGTGAACACTGATTACTGAATAATAATAATTTGTCTTTATATTCAATAGCTGGTCACAGGAACCATTTTAATGAAGGTAGACTTTTCATACTATAAGTACATTTTATAATACCTCCATACCATTACTTAATTACAGAAGTATTCTGGCTACAGGGATTCTACTTATATTGGAGTATTTTTTGTTGTTGTTACATTGTTGCTACTTTTACGTAAGTACAGATGTAAAGCAATTACAGTGATTACATTAGTTACACTGGAGTATCTTTATATTCTTCTTATATTGATGTTACTTTTAAGGATCTGAGTTCAAAACACATTTTGCTTAATGACATAAAATAGATGTGTCACTGACACTGAGGCTTCTTTCTTTCTTTCTTTTTTTATTCATCTCTCATTCATCACATTTCTTACATATTCCTCATCGAAGAAAATGAAATGTCACAGATGAGACTGGAGACAACATGGACGTTTCAGTGAGCAGTTTCCCAGGTTCTCCTTGGTTATGTTAGCAAATATATACAGACACCCCAGGAAGAGCATTGTAGTAATAATAATAATAATTAATCCTTTACCGATAATAACAATAAATTTAATAATAAATACTCAGTGTTCTTAACCACACGCGAAGAAGGAGTTTGGGGGCTCACGCTTCGAACAAATGGGATTGTCAGGATCCCATACAAACAATAACACACACTCATGTTCACGCTCACACACACACTGAGAGAAACTTGCACAGTCAAGTAAAATACCATCTGCCGCCAAAAGACGCACTGTCCACTGTACGAAAAATGACTCCGGAGATAAAGGTTGATTTGTCGGCGGCGGCGAGAGCCACTGGTCCACAGAAACGAACTAGCTGCGCATCACGGCTCCTAAAGGTGCCACCGATGTCGAACAGAGCAGGTCAGAGGAGAGAAGGCCAAGCTTCCAAACAGTCCCACATAAAACATGAGGTTGGCGTTGAAATCAGGTAGTTTTTTTGTTTCCCTCAGTGTTTTCTATTCTCATTGTCCATTGTTAGTTAATGTTAGTTAGAGTGCTACTGACTGTTAGTTAGGAACGGAGGGTTATTAAAAAAGGAAAAATGACAAACAGCCCAGAATGTGTGTGGTCTTATTGAAGAAGTGCTCCGACCATTCAAACGTAAAATAACATGCACTAAAAAAGCACCAGTACACACATATGAACCCATTTTGTTCATCCACACATGTACACTTAATATACACACATTCACACACAGAGACACACACCTGGTCTGCCAAACCAATAGAAAAACACTTCTGCCGACAGGTTTGCGGCAGGGATGGTGCAAGCACTGAGAAAATAAACTCTATGTTTTTAAATGTACAAGGCTGAGGAGATCACCCGTCCAGTGCTTTGAGAAAAAAAAAAGGCTTTTTCCTGTTTTAGTCTTGGAAGGAAGTGGATGACGAGATGACACGTGAGGAATTATGGGAGATGTTTGTGGACCGGCAGAAAAACCAGCGTGCAAAATAAGAACAAGAACACTCTCTGTGAGCAAGTTCAACAAAGTCTAGCTCTTGTTTTTCTCAGGGAAAACTCCTGAAAAGATCAAAATGTTTGGGTGAAATAACGATGGGATATTTTTGTGGAGTGGGAGAGAGAAAAGTCGATGCAAGCAGAACGTGAAGCGGCTACACAGACGGGCGGCAGAAGCACAAGCAGATGAATTGAAGTGAATAGTTAGCAAAGTCAAACAAGTGGCCCTTTAAGCATTTGAATGGCTTTTAGAATGTCGTGAGTCTCAGAGGAAATGTAACCTGGTCACTAAGAAGCAGGTAGAGATGGCGTCCGAGGAGGGAGGGAAGTAGTGTAGGTGGGTGAGGAGACCTCTGTGGTCTCTCAGAGTCGTGCAGGTTAGAGATCGCTGCAGGGGATGGCTTGCCGTCACCTTATCAGGAATTTAAATGTGCACATGAGAGGGATGGCTTCCAGTTAGTGCCTAAAAACATGACAGGAAGTGGGTTTGTTTTTGCGAACTTCAGCGAGTGCACTTTGCTCGGCTCAGACATCAGAAGGCATTCTTTATTCAGCCCCAGCTCTAACGTCCTGGGACACGTTTAAATGCAAAAACATTAGAATTGGAAATGTGGTGTTTTTTCACTATGAGTATTGCTGTCCACACAGAGTGGCGGGCTGCTGCTGTCCACACAGAGGGATGGTGGGGTCCAAACTCTGGCCCTCCATGTCCATGTCCATCAGGCTGGGCCGTGCTGCGCCAGCGTTGCTGTCCCCGGAGCCGGGCGGGCTGTCGCAGCTGCTGCCCGGGGACGAGCTCAGGGTCCGGGAGAGAGAGCCCAGCTTCCAGGGGTCGGCTCTCATCCTGGCCGGGGTGGGCCGCGGCCGGGGGGCAAACTCCAGCGTCTTGGGTCTCTCCAGGGGGCTGATGAGAGGATCTGAGACGGGGATGGGTGGAGCGGGGGCTTTACGCCGATGGGGGATTGGGAAGATGGTGGAGGGGTTGGGGAGGCGAGGGATGTCCAGGGAGTCCTGTGCACCTGATTAATGAAAGGGAGAAGAATGGAGAAAAAAAATCATCATCTTTGTTCAATTAAGGAAAAACCAATGTTCTCTGGTTCCAGTTTTCAAATGTTGAGATAAGACTGTTAGTCAAACAATTCAAAACAAAAAAGAAAACTAGAATTACCATCCTCTGGTTGTATTACTCTGCCCACCAGTGCAGTTTCAGTCCGCATGCATTTTTTCCACAAGGTCACTGAGACCTTTAACCACTGAAATCTAATCAGCTCATCTTTAAGTCCAAGTGATGACTGGTCTAAATGTGAAGAAATGCCCTAGAGGCAGACTTGAGATATATTATGTTCAACAGGTTTTGTGAGGCGACAGTGACCTTTGACCTTTAAACACCTTTCCTCCGTGAGTCTAAGTGAATATTTGTGACAGCTTTGAGAAGATTGCCTGAGAAAACAATCTATATAATCTAATCTTTATTTTTCTCTTGTACCTTTGTTTCCTGTGATGTGCGGCGCCCCCGGTGGAGGAGGCATGGGCATGCTCCCGTCTGACGGTGTCCTGCGGTGTCCCAGGGTTTGGGCCCGGGGTCGTATCGCCCCGTCTGAAGGGGTGCGTCTGTGCCCTCTGTTCATGGCCATGGCTGCAGACACGTGGGTGGGCGTGAGCGACTGGTTGGGCTCCTTCTTGAAGCTTTCCGCCCGCAGGTCCAAGAGTGGGTTGAGGGCAGGGGTCGGAGGAGCCGCCGGCGTTTTGACTCCCGTCATGGGGGTCAGGGAGTACTCGTCCGGGTCTGAGGGGAGGAGGGACTTTGTGGAGTTGCAGTCAGACAGGGAGGACAGAGAGAGGAGCGTCACTGAGGGAGAGGGGTCCATGCAGGGCAGCGTGGAGTCGTGGTGTCTCGACAGGGAGAGGGAGAGGTTCCTGCTGGGTGGAGAGGTGCTGCGACGGAAACGTCCCGTCCGCTGAAAGAGACCCTCCTTCTTCTTCCGCTGCTCCTCTCTGAGGTCCTGCTCGTCCTGAAGCACCTGATGACGACATGGTGTCACAATGACAAACTGTACAACCACTGAGGGTCTCACCGGGACAAAATGTTAGTTCGATTATTTTTTTTAATGAATGAACACAGTGGACATTTCCACCAACAGTTTTTAAAGTCATCTGCTTCTAAAGGTCTGTTATGTTAGGTACCGTGCATTTTAATTTTCAGAAATAACCCAGCCTGTTTGAAGACAACGATTTAATTGATGTGACTAGTTGCCTTTAAGATTTATAATTAATTCTAAAAACATGTAAAATTCAGGTTCACATGGATAAAACTATTGCACTATAATTCAAAGAAGCATTGTCGTCAAAATTGTGATGAAATTCCTCCACATCACAAACTGACACATGACTGTCTACTTCTTATAGTGGTTTGAGAACCGACCTGATTTATTTGTCATTTAAAAAAACATGTAAAGAAAGTGGAAAATAATCCTGGATCTTCCCTTTAATCTACAGCTGCACCAAAATGTAATGCGATCTTCTCAGACCTCAATCACAGGTATTGATCAGGTGACCGATCGACTGGTTAACAGTAGATGTGATGCTAGCATTTTGTTTGGACTGATGATGTTAATACGAGCTTCCTCCTTTGAAAGAAATATACTTTATTATTTATTTCATAAAGACGTTTATAAAGCAACTACAGCAAAAGATTAAATCCATATCATAACTTTGATCGACCCCTCACTGTACACTCTGAATCTGTTCTTTCTTCCTCTGCGCGCTGACTCAACAGCGTCACACGTCTCCTGCTGGTAATTTGGCAGCTCGTTCGTGCTGCGAACATCCTGTTCTGTTTCATTCCAGCGGTGATGTATTCCTTCCAGCTCTGGAGACGGCGGGTGTGATCTATGCGTCACTGGGAGGCACCACGTGTTTTTAACACGGTGCGTCGTCCTGTTAGAACTATTGATCTGAGAGAGAGTCGACCGGGGCTATGAAGCCATCCACCTGATCAGCAACAAATCTGATCCTAGAAAACACTATTAAACACTTCCTGCTTGACTGAAGGTCAATTTATGCTGCTTAAGCAACTGTCTGCAGGACGAGGAAGCTGTTTGTGAAAAACTATAACAGTTAATAATGAAGGTGTGAAGGAACATATTGTTTTTCACCCCAAGTAAAACCGTCAACATCCTGTCGGAGGCTTTTTTTGCAGAAAGGCAACAGTATAAAAAAATAGACAAACCTAATGAAAACGAGTTAAAACATAACTGGAAAACCCAATCAGATAGTGTGTTTATTTGATTGTTGTCACCCCTGTCCCTTAGATTGTTTGTTGGTTTATTTGTTTGTTTGTCAGCAGGATTGTTCAAAAACTACAAAACAAAACTGTCAACATTTTTATCAACTTTCCGAGAGAAAAATCCATGGACCTTTGAAAATCAAGCATGTTAAGGGAAGTTAATTAATTAATTAATTTGGATTTAAGAAGACAATAAATTAAGGTATGTGCTCTAGTTCTGTTGTTCAAACAAACACAGGATGCTTAGTAGTTTTAAAACTCTGACGTTTCTTAGCTTTTTAGCTCACCTGCAGTTTTCCCAGCTGCAGGAGGTCTTGTCCGAAGGCGACGGACGCTAGCAGAGAGGCACAGCCCAGCAGCAGCACATCGCTCTTCTTCCTCTGGTTGCAGCGACGAAGCGAGTCCTGGTAGCTCACCCCCGATCCCAGGCCTCCAGGGCCCTGACAGGAGCTCGCAGTAGACACCCCGACAGCAGGCATCGTGTGGGGGCCCACGCTGCCCCACAGAGACCCAGAGTCGTCCGCAGCCCCGTTACTGCTCGTCTCTGATGGCTGCAGGGACCCCGGTGACTCCTCGAACTCACTGCACTCCTCTGTAAGAGAGGACCAGGGGGCATAAAATAGAAGAGTTGAGATGATATATTAGTCAGTGATGTGCATTTTATGATTAAAAAAACTCAACACTCACCCATTTCATTCAGGCTGGAGAAGCCAGCAGTCATGGGAGCATGTTTGGGGGATTTTCCCAGATTTGGGGCACTGGACGACCAAACCTTGCTTCCCTCTCCCAGAGATTTCAGCCTGAAACCAGAGAAATATGACTTTAATACAGGTTTATAAGATAAGAAGCAGCGAAAGGTAAACATTTTTTATGTCATTTAAGAAGTGGGGGTTTTGAAGGGGGTACCATGTGCACATAGAGACTTTGTGTGGGCAGCTGGGTATTCTAGAGTTCATGCTGAAAATGAATTTGTTTCTTGTCTGGAATAACAACCCTCATGTGTTTGACATGCTGTCATCAACATCTCACAAAACAGAACTAAGTATTATGATATGCAGTATTGAGTCACAGTGTAAAAGCTTTACAAACAACAAAACTTTAACTTTCATAAGTAATATAAAGGGAATGTTTCTCCGTACTTTTCCTCCCCTCCGACCCTCTCCCTCTGGTGGGTGGAGCTCGGTCCCCAGGTTCGTCCTTTCTTCTTGTTGGTTGCCAGGTCTTCCTTCTTGCACACGGCGCTGCGTCCCCACGTCTTGCTGCCATCGCTCGGTGTCACTGATACACAGCACAAACATCTTAAGCTGTGACATACTGTATGTTGTATGGTATTGAGAAATTCTGGTTCATTGCATTTCAAAACCGTAACTCGCACAAAAAAAGAAATGTTTCAGGGTGTTCATGCTCACGTCTGATGGCTCTCAGTCGGGGAATGACTCCTGGGCTGGCAGGTGGGGTGGTGCTCTCGCTGCCCTGGGTCTTCCTCTTGTCCACACTGGGAGACGCCTGCACTGTGATCTTATGCTCAAAGCCTGCAGGACAGAAGAGAGAACATGCGCCAAATCATTTTTACATAACATTTCCATACAGGCTGGTTACGGGAAAACACACAGCAAAGGGCGGACCACTGTGAGCTTCAGCATTTATCACATCCTGAAGACGCGCTGTATAAAAGGCGAAGGAGGATCAAACTAAACAGTGATGTAGTTTTTCTGTTTCCTTTTGTTTTGAATTTACGAGATTTATTCAAAATTGATAAATATATAATATAATGAT